TGCAGATCTAATAGGAGCGGACAAGAAGGAAGTAATATTTACATCTGGAGCAACAGAATGTAATAATATTGCTGTAAAAGGCATAGCGAGATTCTACAAATCCAAGAAAACTCATATTGTGACAACCCAGACAGTGAGAAATTTTTATAAGTTTTAATTTTTTTTTTTTTAAGTGAATCTACAATTAGCTGCTTTTATCTAGGAACACAAGTGCGTACTGGATTCATGTAGAGCCCTAGAAGCTGAAGGATTTGATGTAACATACATTTCTGTACAATCAAATGGTCTTATTGACCTTAACGAACTGGAAGCAGCCATTAGGCCATCCACATCACTAGTTTCTATAATGATGGTGAATAACGAGATTGGCGTTAAACAGCCTATTGAAGAAATTGGTACCATTTGTAGGTGAGCATCAAGATTTTAATAAATATCCTGTTTTATGTATGTATATATAGATATATATAGTTATTTTCAAATTCTATTTACTTTTTACTTGTGCAGGAAGAAAAAGGTCTTTTTCCACACAGATGCTGCACAAGCCATAGGCAAAGTGCCAATTGATGTTAACGCTATGAATATTGATCTGATGTCTATCAGTGGTCATAAGTTGTATGGTCCAAAAGGTAATTTTGTATAAATTATAATTTATTATTACGCAAAAAATTATATCCTTATTTCTTTTGTAGTTTTAGATAGTAGACATAATAAATAATTATAAAAAAATCAACATGTTTTTAGAAGTTGTATATTAGAAATTATATGATCTCTTGTCTAATACAATTTTCATTTCAACAAAATTATAAAAATTATTCTACGTTCATAAAAAAAGCTCGCTGCATCTACATTCTTTATTTATCTATTTTGCATTTAGGTATAGGAGCCCTGTACGTTAGAAGAAGGCCGCGAGTGCGCGTAGAACCATTGCAAAGCGGTGGCGGACAAGAAAGAGGGATGAGAAGCGGTACTGTACCAGCACCCTTGGCTGTAGGGTTGGGTGCTGCTTGTGAGTTAGCGCAGACAGAAATGGACGTAAGTGAAGCAAAAGTTTCGCTTCATATTAATTGATGCATTTGAGGTATTAAAATCTACAATGTATATTTTTTCCAGTACGATCACAGATACATCAACACGCTGTCGAGTCACCTGATCGAAAAGATAACGTCAAATTTGCGGCAAGTCGTGCGAAACGGAGATCCCATAGCCTGGTATCCTGGCTGCGTGAATCTGTCGTTCGCATGCGTAGAGGGTGAATCATTATTGATGGCTTTGAAGGACGTGGCATTGAGCAGTGGTTCAGCTTGTACCAGCGCAAGCTTGGAACCCAGCTATGTGCTCAGAGCAATCGGTGCCTCGGAAGATCTGGCACATTCCAGTATTAGGTATATATTTTGAGATAAAGGAACTTTGCAGATCATTAATCCGCGTCTGTGTTCCAATATACATTACCAGTATTGAAAATCTGTAATATATACGTGACGTGAACGTAGGTTTTCAATATTGGCAGTGTATTAGAATACAGTCGTTATGAAGCGTTGAAAATATCATTCGAATGCTTCCGTGTGTCATTTTATATTTGCTTTCAACGAATGTTAAATTCAGTAAGCTATTCGAGTGATATTTCCGAACGTGTCTTAGTAATTTCATATTTTATCGATGTAATTTGCGACTCGTTTACCTAGGTTCGGCATCGGACGATTTACAACGTTCGAGGAAGTCGATTACACGGCGGACAATACAATACAACATGTAAAGCGACTTCGGGAGATGAGGTAATATGTTCAGCAATTATCGTACAAACGTTTATTTCGAGAGTATGAGACGTGGTGAAGGAACTATGTTAGATTTACGTACACGTTATACTTTGGCGTTATACCTTTATCTTTACAATTTGAAACGGTTGAAATCTCGTTTCGCGGAGGGAACAACTTTATCGTTGGACGTTTCATGAGATTGTGATTATCTCTATTTCTCTTTATCGTCTGATATGCATCTATTAGCCATGAAATTACGTGAAAACGTACCAAAATTTTAATATTTTTATTTTTTTATAGCCCACTGTGGGAAATGGTGGAAGATGGTATCGACTTGAAGACTATCAAATGGACTCAGCACTAATGCCTGGTTATCGTGTAACTTTTACAAACTTAAATAGATATAGTATGTATATTTATCAATGTATGATATAATACCGATCGTGTAAATCATATTAATAGATCAAGCCTAGTCCATTAAGATATAATTTCGCAACGTGTAATAAATTTTCAAGAAAGTTGTTTTGCCGTCACGTTATTCTAGACCTGATCCGATCATGACGCGCAACTTGTGTGTATATGTTACGTATGTCACATTCATGGATTCTCCCTTCCTCTGCAAGACGCAACTTTCCCTCATAGAAAAGTCACGTGTGATAAGTGCTCGATATAAAAATTTCATTCAGTTTTCCCTTAAACTTTTAGAGATTCTCAGAAAGTGCATGTCGTATCGGCGAATTAGAGATTAGCACAAACACGATGGATCGGTTGCTTCGTCGACATATGAAATCTTAAATCGATCCTTGTCCATCTCATGAAGCTCCATTCGCGATCGATTCGCCTCGACCAGATGTTGTGCTATATCCTCAAACATCTCGTTTACGCCTTCGCCAGTTTTGCACGACGTTTTGTATATCCCCGAAATCAGATTATGACATTGTTCGCTAGAAGATTTCATTTTTTTTTTAAATTTATTATATATAAAAGAAGCGTACTCTCTAAATCTTTTAGAGTGGAATCTCATTCTAACAAGTAAAACATTTAGGCAGTCTTAAAAAAGAGTAGTACAATTTTCAATCCTTAAAAGTAAGATTTTACTCTTCAAAGTAAGATTCACTCTAAAAGTTTTAGACTATTAGAGAATAACTAGGAAACTATTAAAAATTATGAGTACCAGAATTGTTCCATTTCTGCGTCTGTGACTTGTGGTGCGACGCTTTCCAAGTCGCTTTTGTTTCCACAAAGGAATATTTTCGCGTTCTCCGCGTATGTAACTATGTCAAGCAAATGTTGGGACAACAAATGAAACGATGTTGAATTATCCAGGGCAAACACCAGAATGGCAGCCTCTGCAAACTTGTAGTAACTTGAGGTAACGGATGCCACTCTTTCCATACCGCCAGTGTCCCATAATTGCAGCTGAGAACAAAAGACGCAAAGTCAAAAATTTATCAATCTTATAAATTTCACAAGGACAATGTCATGTTTACTTTCGGTAAATACTCTGAAGATTATTTAAATTTCTCAACTATAATGTTTTTTGATACACTGTGTGAGTTAATTAAATGAAGCAACTTATATGGAACTTATTAGTTACATTTAATGTGTATCAGTATATAATAAGTTCAGCTTGTGCAACGTTTAAAAAGCAATCACTCCAATATTTACTACGTACGCTTACTGATTTCAGTCTGACAGTTTATTGCACGCAGTTCGGATTCAGCAGGAAATAGGTCAGTAATACGAAACCAAATTCTATGGAATCCCATGGCGCAACTTGCATGCAACTTGACGATCAATAAAGAGAAAACGAAGAAAATAAGGCAGAATTTTCCAAAGTGATTGCGTACATTTCTCGTTACGTGAAAAGGTGCAATCGATTCACATGTAATGTAAAGTTGACACTCACACGTATCCGTCTATCCTCAACGACGTATTCCTTGTCGATGTTGTCAAGGCCCAGAGTCGACTTGCGGTCGTTGCTGGCGACAAACGTGTTGTTGGCGAAGCGCCGGAAAATAGACGTCTTTCCGACGCCGTACTCGCCGCACAATATAACCTTCTGCTCCGTCACCTTGACGGTCGCCATGTCGTGGCGCGGCGCCGGCTGAGATCACTGCTGGCGGGTCATCGTGCACGCGCGCGTCTCTCATTCAATGAGGTCGATGTGAACGACGTGAACTCACCCTACCCACCACGAGAGTTTCTAAACGCTATGAACCGCTCCAGTTCCAGATAACCTGCTTCCATTCTGCCTCCGCCTCTATCAACCGTGACAGCGACGATTAATTACATTTGCCTTCTATAGGGTATATAAAGAAAAGCAAAGAAATAGACAACATGAGCGCATTAGATTGATTTTATCCCATTGGACTAAGCAGTCCTTTTTTCTTTTTTTTTTTTGTCATTTATTAATTATGAAAACTAAATTTTTAAAAATGGGAGTTATCATTTTAATTATTGCATGAAATGGGGAATATTGATTTTGAGCAGACATTTTTATTTCGATTAAAAGTTTCCCTGATATATTTATGCAATTTAGGAAAAGGATGAAAAATTTGTTAGGTTTAATATAAATTTATATTATCTTTTTCGAAGAGAGTAAACAGTGAGAAAACGAATTTGAAACTTTGCACCCTTGTAACTCTCTCTTTTTTATAAGTTTTATCGTTCTATAATTCATCGTACGTGCATGTGTGTTTCCAAAATAAGATAAATGTATATAATTAATGATAAATATATAATTAAAAATTAGAAAAAAATAGTGAAAACAAAAAATGTAGCTGTAAAAAACTTTGAGAATAAAAATTTCTTGTAATTATACTTTCTCGCATTTTCTACATGACAGAAAAGAATTGCATGACGAAATATCAATTGAAACAAATTAGAGACCATTTACCAGTATAAATGATCCCTAAAAGCGCTCCTTTATTTATTTTGAAAATGTCAAGAGCTGAAAGACGTCATTCGCGTTCGGAAAATACGACAATCGCGCGATTCGTAATTGTGGTGCACATATTTTCAGACCAATCATTTCAATCTTCAATGCATAGTCTGATTCCGGCCTAACTGTTTTACACGCCTGACAGTTGTCGGTGTCGTTACGCAGATATTTTATATGGTAAAAAAGCTGCGCAACGACACCGACAAGTGTCGGTAGGCGTGTAAAGACAATTACGGAATTGCGCCCCAGTTTTCTCGAAGGTTTGACGGTGTGTATTTTCTGAACACTGTTGAGCGGTTTCAATCGCGTTTTTCGCGCGTGTGAATAGTTCAACATAACGTCTTTCAAGTTTCGAAGTTTGAAATTGTTTGAAATGTGACGTCCATTGTGTTACAACGGAATTTGATTCCGTTTTGTCGATGATCGTGTCGTGAATCTTAATCGTAGCCTACGAACGCGATGCGAGCACGAGTGACGAGAAGCTTCGTGTACTACCTGAAGACTAGTGGCACTTGCATCGTGGTGCTCGGGTAAGTAATTCCAAGGTGACTTTCTGCCACTCGAAATCAAGGTTGCGTCAAATGTCACATGTTTACATCGGAATTATATCTTGTTCAGAGGATGCTGGTTCCTGTATCAATTGCGACAGGTATCGCAGATCATTCGGTCAGCTGTCAACACAAGTGTTCTAAATTTAGAGCAAACCCGGGCACAATACATCTACATTGATGATCCTCGATTTAAAGGTAATCGTCTACTCTCAGCAGCTGCACATAATTATCATGTTCTAATATATACTGCCAGTATTATATATATATATACATTTCTGTGTATAAACATTGATCAATCCTCTGGTTTCAGATATCTTCATGTTCAGGAAAGATGAGGATCTACATGGACCTACATCGGAGAAGCCAACAAGTCTCAGTGATGTTCTGGCGAAATGGTGGAAGATGAAGAATCATAAGATTGCATATAAATTATTGTATATGGCTCAGCATGGGAACAAAAACGAACGATATAAAGCTGTGACTACACTTGGTTCTCTGTCGCACTTAAAAGGTAACAGCTCTAGGCCTATGTTCTCATCTGAGTATCGCCTAGGTATCATTTTATCTTTGTTAAACAAAGATAAAATAATATCTCGGGTAGAAATCTGAATGCGTCTAAGGCTAGAATCAGACTAAGCATTGAAGATTGAGATTGAAGATTGAAATTTAGCCAATAGAAACAAGGAAATATTAGCTCCTATTGTTTGGATTGATCAAATTTCAATCTTTTAATTTTCATTGCATAGTCTGAGTCCAGCCTTAGAATGTTTCTCTGTAAATCTTTCAGATTGGCAGTATCGTCATTTGGCACAGATGATGGATGCTAAAACAGCAGTAGCTCTCGCAAGAATGCCCAATGTTAACTCATTATTCTTTTTGCAACCACCATATTATCATGTGCAGTACAATTTAGATGTATATAGTTTCTATTTTAAATTTAACTTTCAATTATTTTAAGCTTAACTTTTCTAAAAGGATAAAATACATACATAGTATTTGCCAACATTTTTCATTGTTGTAAAAATACATTCAATATTTCTTTACAGGATGTATTAGAAAAGGTACATTCGTTGTTGTTAAATTTGAATGCTTTATGTGACAACACACATCTCTGCCTTACACAGTTTCTCAATAAAATGTTTAAAGACTCGCATCGAGTAAGTACTTGAATATGCATGAAAAAAAAATTAAAATATGAAAAAAAAACAAGTATAAAAAGTGTATGTTAACATATAATTATTTAAATTATTATCTTTAATATTAAAAAATTGAAATATCTATTAATTAAATTACTATAAATATATTGCAATATAATGATATGCAACAAATAATTTTAGGAATAATTTATAGATATTTCAATTTTTTTAATGTTACAATATTGTAATTGTAACTTAATAACATCCATGCTGTAACCATCTATTCAATTGATGTATAGTATCTTGTAGAATGGTTTGACCATGATTTAACAAGTGTGGGTCTTTCTGTGGAAACTACAACAGTTTGGGATGATGAATTACTTAAAAGTTGCATTCGTGCAATCTGTCATCATTCTTCCGTGGAACAATATAGCAAACGTAAGTTATGAAAATGTTTTTGTATAATTCTACAAATTGATGTACACTCTTTATATCTTTTGCTTAAATTTTGCATTTTAGATTTGATTAATGCTGGAGCTCTGCCAATATTGACAGCGATACAAAAAATTTGCAATGACGACATAGAAATATGTATATTACTCGCAAGGATATTATCCAACATATCTCTTCATTCCGAATATTTAGAAACTATCTATGAGTCCGGTAAGATAGACTTGTTCTTTCTGTAATATATTATTACATTACTGATGACATAACTGCTCTGATAAAGGATGGATCGGCATATTGTCACATTGGTCCCACAGTGACGACATTCGTCTATCAGCACAGGCGATCAGTGCATTGGTGAATCTAGATACAAATGGAAACGAGAAAGCGAAATATTCGCAGAGCGTCTATCTTCTTCATCCTCTACATAGAGTTCACGCAGCAACAAAAATGGACGTTGTATTTCTGCACGGATTGTTAGGTGGAGTTTTCGTTACTTGGAGACAACGTGACATTGATACCTCTGCACTTGGTGTTGTAGGTTTGTCATTATTTGTATATAACTATAATTTTTCGAATTTTATTCTTTCGTTATCTCGTACCTCTAGAGACTATATAAAAGAATAAGAATAAAAAGTAAAAAGATAAAGTATGCACGGTAATCGAATGCTATATTATAAAACGTTGCAGAATTTATCTCCAGACGTATAAGTTTTCATATGGATTTAATTCAGCAATAATTATACATATATTGTCGGATTCATGGTATATCCACACAAACTTGCATAGCTGCATAAATGTATGTGTAAAGAAAATTATCCAATCGCATTTCTCTTACAAAGTTGCACGTAAAATGTGATTGGATAATTTTCTTTATGCATATGTTTATGCGGCTATGCAAATTGTGTGGATATACTCTAACAGTTTAGAACATTGATAACTTTTGAATTTTGCAATATAGTACATTTTTGCATAGCACAGCATTCAGTTATCAATGCAACTTTATTTCTTTATAATTGTTTATAATATATTTTTAGAGCAATAGAGATTATCTCTTTACCTTTTCACATTATACGTTTAATTGCAGATGATAATACATTGATCGAAAACACTACAGACTACTTGTCTGCTATGGTTGATGACGATCGTCCTCAAGAATTCTTTAAAGACTTGGCTCGCGATCTGCATTTGCGCGAATGGAGAAAGATAGGTCAAGATTTTGAGGTGATACTGGATGATTGTCCACAAAACACAAACGATCGAGCGTGCGGACCTTATTTCTGCAGAGGGTAGATTTTTATATATTTATCAACTTCAATATATACTGATGACTTGCTTATAAACAAATATCGTATTTTTAATTTATGATTTTTTATACGCGATATCTTTAGAGATGACACCTGTATGAGGAATGATCTTGATTCTACATCCAAAACACTTTGTTGGCCCAAAGACTGGTTACCTGTAGATATACCATCCTTGCGAATTATAGGTATTAACTATGGTACGAGTTTATCTATGTGGACTCCTTTCTGTCCAATAGAAAGCATGAAGTAAGTACTGTATTTCGTTTAATACTCTACGAGAATGTTTGAATTTCCCATGATAAATTTAGGTATTAAATATTCCAATAGTTTGATGCATTACATTTATTTTTGTTAGGAGTACTATTAAAGAGAGAAGCGAAGAATTCGTTACCAAATTGACAATGGCGAACGTGGGCCAACGGCCACTTATATGGGTCGCCCATTCAATGGGTGGATTATTAATTAAAAAAATGCTCGTAGAAGGTATGTATAAGCTGAACATTTACACTAATTTTTATACTTTGATAAATGTACCAATAAAATTATCACTATTGTTAAAGTCGTTATATGTTATACTGTTTATAGAGTGGAAAACTGGAGATAAAAATGGTATTTGCAAGAATACCAAAGCTATTCTATTTTACGGTACTCCTCATCGAGGTTCACATGTGGCGGCTCTGAAGCAAACAACGCAAATGCTGCTATGGCCAACGATTGAGGTTCAAGAACTGCGCGAAGGTAATTGTCGATCTCTAGTTCTAATTAACGCGCAATATAACTTATCGTTCTAATATTTCAGAATCACCGCAATTACTAAAATTGCATGAAGAATTTTTAGAAATGTTGAATAAATATCGCATAGAGATTGTGAGTTTCGCCGAGGCCAAACCTACGCTTGTAACTGCGCTGAAGTTTCCTTTCCAATTTGTCAGTCTCAATTCAGCAGGTAATGCTTTAAGACCAATTAGATGTAAATGTTAATATTTCGTTTGCACATGATTATACATCATCTTACCTTGGTATGTATTCGTAGATAAATGTAATTTATCTAGATTCTTATCAACACACACACACACACACACACACGCCACACACAAAACATACATGCATATAAAACAATATACTGACTCGTCTTTCCAGATCCTGGCGTAGGAGAATTCTTCGAGATTCCGCAGGATCATTTATCGATATGCAAGCCAGCTAGCAGGTAAGTAATATATACATATCTAGAATATAATGCGGTTTAAAAGCATCATTGGATAAAAGGAAGACACGTTAAGCTTCATTTTATCATCAACAAAGATTCATTTTTTTATCTGATTGCCAATGATGTTTTAAAACTGTATATTTGTTGAGTATGGTCCTCTTACGTAATTACATGGAAGGTAGGATGTTGAATAATGCTCATGCTATTTCATATTTTGGATAGGCAATCGTTTTTGTACCAAAAACTTCTGAATGTGCTCAGACGCCATGTCAACACTCAGGAAGATACAACTGTCTCGATTAGCAATCTACTGTCTTTGTTGAGTAAGTTATTTTAAGTCTGTATACAAGAGATAATATGTACCAATTTTATATATTTTTATGTGATGCTAAATGAATGTACGAATAACTGTGATTATAAAAAAGATTGTGATATACATAATGATTTGATCTCTACTCAGTATCTCATTTCATTTATAAATGAGAAAGTATTTCGTTATCGGTGTAATTGCCATTTTTGTCGCTTAATTCTACTTTTCACATCTGCAATTTCAAGCACATCGTGGCAAACATATTATTGGCGTGATAGTATCGGTTTTGGTGGAGAGTGACCGATTACAATATAATTACTTATTATTCTGACTAGAATAAATAAATCCCTTATTAAGGCAAACAGCTAAAGAATGAACGAATTCGATGTCGCAAAATAATGAACACAAGTTGTTAGATGTACGAAATACAAGATAACAAACCCTATATTGAAAATATTCTACGTAGAAGTGTTGGTAATCTCTTATCGAAATGCACACGCGTTGTGTTGAAAAATAGAGTAAATATTCCGATGAGTCTCTCGTAGCTGCTTACCTAAGACGCCGAATAAATTAAGTGAAATCTCGGTATTGGTAGAAGAAATTACAGTTTATTGCCGTTTAGAAATTCGTATCGTAGTCGGGATGGTGACGGTTTGACAAGTTCGTGGTACTGTCGTAACCGTATTTGCTGCTCGTATGCGAAGGATTGTAATAATAACCATTCCACTCGGATCGCCAACTGTCGTACATATTGTATTTCTTGTCCTGGAAGGTCTTGTCGACCAAAATCTAAATAGAAACGAGTCCAAGATAAGTACATGATGCTTGATATTCAATCGATTTGATATTACTTTCCACGCTTATTCACCTTGTTAGAATTCGATTCGAAAGACTTGTCATTCCAAGAGACGTCGGGATCGGTCCATATTGTGTGGGTTACTGGCTTCGAATAGTCACTCGATCTGTGACTCGACGCGTGCTTAACCACTTCTTCATCATAAATAGCCGACATGGTCGGTTTCAGTTTCGATCCATTTTGCCTGTTGACGAGCTGGAAAATAAATTCATTCATTATCTTTATTTTTGTTTATTGTACAACTATACGAAAACTTCGAACGGTTTTGACTTACCACAGACACACCAAACACGATAATAAATAGCAAACCTCCGACACCTATCACTATCACTGCGATTGCCCACTGGGGTATCAATCTATCATCCTTCTCAATATACTGCGGCATATTTACTTTAGGTATGACTAAAAAAAGATATGTATATAGTGAACAAGTAAACAGGATATTGATGAAAAAAAAAAACAAGTTTTTGAGATGACGCACCTACGAAATCAGTGTACTTAGGATCGATAGTAAACATTCCCATCCTTAGTGGACCCTTCAAGCTTGTTTCATTCCACTGATTGGCATTGTATGTCCTGAGCGAGTCGTGGAAAATCACTTTTAATTCCTGCGTGTTCACTTTCTGCTGTAAATTGGCTAGCTCGACAAAGTAGTCTACTAGGATGCTGCCTTGACTGAAAATGTTAATATCTTTGTTGAATCAGTAATATGAAATCGACTAATTCAAAGTATGACGAAGTGATGTCTAATTACTAAATACAATTCACAAAAATATAATATATAATAAAAATCTCACTTATAGCAAATAATGCTATGATTATACTTGTAATCATCTTCCATGCTTTTCGATACTACTGCTTTAAATTACAAAGTCTGAATTACCTGAAAGAATCGATCCTTATGTTTTTGTACCAATTCATTAAAAAACTGGATTTCGAGAATATAAAGTTCATCTGAAAAAATATGTGATTTAAATATAATTGGCGTTTCGTGAAGATATTGACAAGTTGAACGAAGAATATACCTCTCGTTCCACGTGATTTGCAAGTTCTTGCCACTCGTGAGTGTTTCGATCGTACAATTCTGGTATCCACGTCGCGTTTCCAATAATACGTATTGTACCGGCGACCTCGCACTCATCATCACATATGCCAGGAGTAGTCGGTCTTGGCGTCGTCGTCGTTGTCGTCGTCGACGATGTTGTACTCGAGATTTCATTCGTACTGGGAATAAACGACATGTTTATCGGCGCTACCGTAGCTGTACGTGCTGCTTCCAACAACTTTTCAATGGAGATCGGCGTGGTGGACGAAGTTGGCCATCCAGTGAACTCTGTAGTAGCTCTGAAATTTTTTTGTAATTTATTTGCTCGATCCTTTTAATGAGTAAGAAACATTGGTACTTCTAGTGTTAAAAAAGAAGCTATTCTTTTAATAATAATGTGTAACGTTATAGGACTAGCTTACCGGGTTGGCCATCCCTTTTGTATTTTTGGCGTTACCGTGCCTGGACCATCTCCACGCGGTGTCTGCGGAGTAGTTATTTTTTGAATCGGCTTGCGACCACCTGGTCTACTGGGAAATACGATCTTCAAGCCACCAGCTTTCTTCGTGGTAGGTGACTCGGAATCAGTTCGTTCTGTGACTGTCGTATTCTGCTCGCTGTTCACGTCATCAGTAGCTTTACTGTTCGGAACGGAGTCTTTCTTTTTTTGTTCGTAATCTTTAGGTAATAAGGCGGAAATATCGACTTTAGAAGATGCGAAGAGATCTTGGATAGACGGGGCGATCTTTTCCGGAGAGCTGCCTGTACTTTTCGCTGTCGTCGTTTTTACTGTTGTTGCCAACGTTGTCGTTTTAGTATCTTTTGACTTGGATTCTTCCTCTACTTTCTTTTTGTCATAACCAGGTGGTAAGAGAGACGAAATATCAACCTGAGATTTGGCAAGGATTTCGCTGAGGAGGGAACTCTCTGTGACAACTTCATCTTCTTTCTTTAGTTTGTATCCTGCAGGCAGGAATGCACTAATATCTTGGACGAGAACGTCGGCTTTAGGTTTCGCTCGTGGTGTCGTCGATGTGGTTTTTGTCTCTGTTGCTTCCGTGGATGTCGGTTTCGAAGAAGGCCACCTGAAAAAAAAATGATAACTATCACTTTTAACTCAAATCTTGATTCATCGATGTAATTATGACAATAAGCGTATTTGTCGTTCTTGTTGCTGGTAACTAAAAAATTCATTCATCAAAACATATTTTCACGTCGCCTATTGTTTCCAAATTGTGATATGTATAATACTCGCGCAAATATAAATTTTATAAAATCTTCCAAAAATTTATGTGATATATCCAACCTGAAATTTGTCTTGAAAACTGCACTCGGGGTAGTTCCTCTCGACACGTAATTTCGAGGCAGCAAACCTTCCAGAGTGTCGACCGTAGTTTCAAATCGCGGCTTTGCCGTGTTAGTGCTGGTGTAATTCAGTTTTCTGTCGTTGTAACGTCGTGGTATGAACTTCCCGATGACTGGTACCTTGGCCGTGGTCGTGAAACTCCTACGAGTAGTCGTCGTCGTGCGATCTCGCTCGGCTAACACATCCAGTTGCAACGTATTACCGTTGTTTCGGAAGCCACCGGTACCGAGGATGGCCGCTGGCAGAAGATCGCTAGATAGCTTGGACTGCGCCCAGTCGAGCTTGTCAATAATGCTCTCCGTGGACGGTGGTTGCGACGTTTTCTTGCTCTCAAGCGATCCACTGTGCGCTTCCACCTGCTCTACGCGATCTATTACTGGAAACGGCAGAAAGCGTGCACCCGATACGCTGCGGCTGGTCTGCACAGAGGCCAGGATTCTCGAGGAGTCTTCCGTGGTCACTTCTGGGTGTTCTTCGGTTATCTCGGGTAACGACGACGGCGGCGGCGACGGAACTTGCTCTGTGGTAACCGGTGAGGCCGTCGTTGGTACTGATATTGTACCGTTCACCACACTCTTCGTAGTCACCACGGAGACCACGGCACCGCCTATCAAAATAGAACTGATCTCGGCGGAGACGTTTTTAGGATCCTCCTTCCCGGATGTGCCGAGCGTAGTGAACGTTTTGTCGCTACCCTCCATGGACGAGCCTTGCTCCAACTCGGTCGACGATATCGGATTGTTAACTTCCTCCTCGACAATTCGCGACGAGTTAGAAGTCGACTCGTGCGAAACGTCTTCATCTCTCTTTTCTAAAACGCCGTGTTCCAATTCTGACGAATTCGCCGGCGTGACATCCTCCTCTTCAGATTCCGTGTCTAAGTAGTCGAGATTTTCACCTTCTAAAACGAGTGGAAACAGATTATTTAGAATGTATTCGAAGAAATTGAAAGATGTTAAATCTTCTTATAAAATACAATGGAAAAAAAAACTGTTTTTAGAGTTTAGAAGGTTTAAGAAGAATCAAACTTTTTAGTTATGTCAAATATTTGAGTTGGACGGAATGGAAACTTGGTTCATATTTTTCTCATTTTTAAGAACAACAAATTGAAATGCAATTGTAGAATCTACTTGTTTTATGCTAGTAAGTATATATTGAAGAAGATCTGATACTTTTTTACAAAATATTAAATTAATGATATACGAAAATTGAGATACAAAGATTTTCATCATTATTAATCGCGCGTCCACGAGAAGAGAAATAAACAATTACAGTTCAATGTGACTAGAAACGGCCGAATCTCACCTGCAGCGTCGTACAGAGAACGATTTCCATTTTCGTACTCTTCATAATAATAATACGTATTGTCATCTTGATTCGCCGGGAGATCTTCGAGATAATCCCCACCCTTGTCTCCCGCTTCAATATTCGACACGCTGCTAGTTTCCGGTGGAGATCTCTCTTTCTTCATTGCGCCATTCTCATTATCAGGAAGATCTTTCTTTTCCACCTCCACTTGCTCCACCTCCTCCTCCTCGAGCTCTTCCTCTTCGTGCTTATCTTCATCTCCGTATTCCTCGACGTCATACGTCAGCTTAGGCTCTTTCTCCTTCTCTTCCTCCTCTCCCTTGTGATCGCCTCCTTCTTTTGATTTCGATATGTCCATCACATTGTTTTCCCCCGGCAAATGCGCCAGCGATGCATCGGCCTCGTTACTGGACGGTGATGCATTTCGGTCTTGCTTCTCGTACACCGAATTCGTTGGTATCA